AGTGAGTGAGTGAGTGAGTGAGTGAGTGAGTGAGTGAGTGAGTGAGTGAGTGAGTGAGTGAGTGAGTGAGGGAGTGAGTGAGTGAGTGAGTGAGTGAGTGAGTGAGGGAGTGAGGGAGTGAGGGAGTGTATGAGTGAGTGAGTGAATGTGTGTGTGAAGGGTGTGAGTGCGTGAGTGCGTGAGTGAGTGAGTGAGTATGCGCAGCCGCCACTTGAAGTGCGAGGACACCTCCCAGTGCATCAGAACAAGCCGTGTGTAATGTGCATCACGGCGCATTCCAGCAAACAGTGTGCGTGCGTGTGTGAAAAAGCACCTGCGCGTCATGGAGTTGAGGATGCGGTTTGCCTTTGACAGGTTGGCGTCCGTGCCTTGGACCTGGGCGATGGTCAAGTGGGGAGGAGGGGGATGAGTGGCGTGTCAAAACGTGAGGATCGACTCGAAGAGCGAGGGCAACACCAACACCAAGCAATCAAAGCATGCAGGCAGACGAGCAAGTGCAAGCGTGATACACAAAACCTCACCCCCACCCCCCAACACACACACACACACACGACACAATAACGAAAACGACAACATCCGACCACCACGACCACCACGACCACCACGACCACCAACAACAACAGGAGCAGCAGCAGCCTTGCGTACCCTGCCGCCGATGCGGACGATGGTGTCGCGCTGGTCGCTGAGGTCGGTCATAATCTGCTCGCCCGTCTGTCGACTCGACTCGCCAAGTCGCTCAATCTGCACCAGGCGGTCGCTCGTCGCATTCATCGTCTGCCGGTTCGCAAGAATCTGGTCCCGCGTCGTCACCGCGCCCTTTGTGATGGTGGTGGTGACGATGATTGTGATGGTGGTGGATGGCGGTGGCGGTGATTGAGAAAATGGTTTGCGTGAGGTGGCATTGAGAGGTGTTTGCGTGCTTGTGCTGGCGCGTGGACTGTGCATGCAGGCAGGGAGCGCTCCACATGAGTCCTACTCGAGTCTCACACCCCAACCCAATCAATCACCACTCACATCACCACTCACGTCACCACCACCACCACCACCGCACGAGCGCGTGTGTCGCACCTGGTCCTGGCTGCCGCCTGCGCCGAGGAGGGCTGAGCGCTCGCCCGTGGCCTTCTGGTGCCGGCCGAGACAAAGAGCACGCGCAGTGGGCCACAGTGAGCAGAGGGCAAAAGGATGAAGGGTAAAAGGGAAGGGAGAAGAGCAGGGATACAGGAAGAGTCGCATTTGCATTCACACACACACACACACACGAACTCAACGCGGCCGTGCGTGAGGAAACGTACGAGCTTCTGCTTGATGGACTTGAGCTTCTGTCGGTGGGAGGTGAGGCGGTTGTTGAGCGTTGCACGTTCCCTTGGCGGCGCAAGCCGCGCCTCAGACTCCATCGTGTACAGCTGCAAGAGATTGCATATTGTTGGGTGGGTGAGGGTGGTGGTGGTGAGGATCCGGACGGACAAAGGCTGTTTCACACAACCGCAAGCAAACACACATATCATATCATACACTCATACACACACACGCACACACACAGCTACAAGCAAACACGCCCACACACACGCTCACACACACACACGCACCAAGTCTTCGGCTTTGTCAACTCTGCTTTGTGCATCCTCAATCTGTCGTCTGCGTTGTTCTGCCAAACATTTCAGCATTGTACAAACAAACAAAGCGCGGTGAGAACGAGATCATCTCCATCGCGCAACTGCACTATAGCTTGAGCAAGCCGGCGTTGATTGTATCCATGCAGATAGAGCTGGGAAGCGAGCAAAAGGACAGACACAATCACGAAATACAATTTGCGCAGACACACACACACACAATGACAATGCAGACAGGCACACATGCAAAGACACACCTCCCGACATGTTGGCGAGCGATTGAACCATGCTGGAGAGCTCGGAGAGCACGTCCTCCAGATCATACTCGGCATCCTCAAAGCCTTGCGAGGACATGGTGACGGGTGATCGGCGTCGAAGTTGTTGTTGACGACAAGAACCAGATGCGGGTGTGGACCGCTCGTTTCGGAGACACGAGAGCCTTCGAGGGGCAAAGAAGAGCACGACTTTTGCTTGGTTGGCTGCGCTTATTCGCTTGGACGCAGTCTCAGTCACACAATAATGCCAGACGTCACGCCAAGGCCCAAGAGAAGAAGACACACACAAACAAAGATGAGCAGCACCAACAACAACGACAGCTGTCTCGCTTCTGCTTGGATTGGATTGCTTTCGTATCCTCTGGTGCGGGGGAAAGTGGAATTTTATACGGCATTATTCATGATATTCGACAACGATGACTCACCACGCATCCACAACATGCTTTGGGTTGATGGTGGTGGTGGTGGTGGTTGTGGATGGTGGTCGTGCACCCTGTGTGGTGTGCTGTGACGAAGACGAAGACGAGGATGATGATGATGACGGTGCTGTTGCTGTCGTTGGATCCGTGATGGAGTCATCTGCACGCAGTCGCTCCTGAGCAAAGTGAAGGAGGA